TGTATCGTAAAGATATACCGCGTGCTTCAATTTGCTCAATCTCCATGGTTCCGCGATTATATCGAATTAAACCCACAATTTAGAACGCGTGCAACCAATGATTTTGAAAAAAATTTGTACAAATTGATGAACAATGCAGTATTCGGCAAAACGATGGAAAATGTTCGCAATCATGTAGATGTAAAACTGTTGACAAAATGGGATGGAAGGTACGGTGCTGAGACAATGATCGCAAAACCAAATTTTCATAGTAGAAGCGTTTTCGCCGAAAATTTAGTTGCCGTTGAATTGCGCAAACTTGAGGTGAAATTTAACAAGCCGATCTATGTGGGTATGTGCATACTCGATATATCAAAGGTTTGTTTGTATGAATTTCATCACGAGTACATGTATCCTCTGTATCGCGACAAATGTAAAATAATGTACACTGACACTGACAGTCTTATTTACAACATCAAATGCGATGATGTATACGAGCACATGAAACGTGATATTGCAAGGTTTGATACGAGTGATTATCCCGCTGACAACGTGTACGGTATACCGCTTGTAAATAAGAAAGTTCCGGGTTTGATGAAAGACGAAAACAATGGAGCGATAATGATGGAATTCGTCGGTCTCAGAGCGAAGATGTACGCGTTGAGAGTGAACGGTAAAAGGGATACAAAAAAGGCCAAAGGCGTTAAGAGTAATGTCGTAACGCGAACGATAACTTTTAATGATTATACACAATGTTTGAAAGAGGAGATTGAAACGACTCGCCAACAATCATGCATTAGATCAAAATTGCACGAAGTGTACACAATGTCCGAAGCGAAAATCGTTCTGAATCCGTACGATGACAAGCGATATATCGTACCAGAATCAATTTATACGTTACCATGGGAACATTATCGTATACCGCTATAAAAAAAAATGTATATATTAAAATGTATATATATTACAAGTGTACCCCGATTAAGTTAAAACATATATTAGGTTAGGATATATGTCGAATGCGATAAAAAAATATATTTTTATATAAAAAATAGAACTTAGTTCGATAGCAGCCTGCGATTGGTATTGTTAATAATGGTTCAAATTACAAAAATTGTTTATTGATTATTTTAATACAATAAAATACATTTTTACAATATATTATCCTTGTTTATCAATGAGTTGTATGAATTGTTAAATCCCATCCTTCACCATTATGGAATGACTTTTCTCGTGCTTATGTCTATGTGTATACTGATTTAACTGTAATATTCCATTATTTATTTATCTTTTTTCATAGATTTACTTTCTTCTACTTTCGCATCAGTATTTTTTGTCTTAGATTTACTTTCTTCTACTTTCGTATCAGTATTTTTTGTGTTAGATTTATTTTTTTCTTGTATCATATCAACTAACAGATTAATGTTTTGATGAAGATCATTCATACTCTGTATGTTTTTCGCCCTGATTACTTCCTGTTCAGTTTTCAACGTTTTACTATTCTCCTCCAATCGATCTTTCAACGTTTTAATATTCTCTTCTAGTCGATCTTTCAACGTTTTAATATTCTCTTTCAGTTGATCTTTCAACGTTTTAATATTTTCATTCACATGCTTTGCGATCTGCTCTCTCCACACTTTAAAATTCTCATCCACATAATTTTTGTGTGCAGCGTCATTGAAGGCTTCCGGCCACGTTATATGTCGTATTTTGATCCCTTTTGTATCAAAGAATTTACGGTCGGCAGATATACAAAGAGTATTATCTTGTACATATCGTTTGCTCGCAAAGTCGCGCAAACTATCAGTCGCAAATTTTGCGAAACGCTCTTCCACATATTGTTTGGTTGCAACGTCACTATCGGCTTCCGGTTGTGCTACATGTTGTATCTTGCGAGACTTTGCGTCAAAATCTTTAGCCGCGTTTAGACAAAGGGCATTTTTATGTACATAACTTTCAACGTATTCATCCCATCGTTCTACAGGAACAGTTCTGAAACTGTTATTCTTTCGCGATGTTCCAAACTTATCCATCGACATTTCGACACGAGCAGTATCGACTGACTGACTCGTGTCAACGCTGCGCTGCTTAATTTATAATGAGGCCAGCTTCACGGAGTTCTTCGATAATTGATAAAATTTCATTGCCGTGAACATTGTTGCCAGCTTTACGCGAAGCTTCCAGTAATCGTAAACGATCCACCAGCTCGTTGGAATGATTCCAATACGTATAATCGATTTTGTTTTCGTTTAACGTCATCACATCTCGCGATACGGAGAAGCCTTTCCCTACCGCCTTATTGCTCGACATGTGTGATACCAGAGGGCTTATTGTATTCTTATACTTGTACCTTTTGTTACCGAGTATAGGATTTAGAGGGTTGTAGCCGCGTATGTGAGCATTCGTCGCCAGCAGTATACTTTTGTGGGAGCGGTGCACTTGGACACAGTGCATTTGGACACAGCCAATCACAGCACCGTGTGATTAGAGACATTTGTAGGGTCCCTTGGAACAGCGACTTGTGATTGGACTGTGTCCAATTGCCCCGTGTCCAAGTGATATACACCCTACTTTTGTACTTGTGTTTGTCGGCCTCGGTGTACACGGTATCGTCGGGTATTCTCTTGAATATCAGTTCGTAAAGACCCGGTGTTCCCATATATCTTGTTCCATCAATGATTATATTATCGTCTCTGTCCACGTCGATGCGTTTATCACCTAGCGTCAGTTCATCATTATCGAAACGTACCCCGTAAACGTGATCTATAGTTGTATCTTTTCCACCGCTTAACATCGCTCCAAAGTATTGTTGTCCCAGGGGACCAAGGTGATCGCGCAACGTTTGTTGTCCCGCGCGCGTTTGTAACTGATGTCTAATGGATGTCGCGAGCGGCTCATCCGGGGTTTCGAAAACAGTATTCTCATCATCATCAATGGGTAGAGTGTCGTTCGATTCATGCGGTTGCTCGTATAGAGGTGCTTTCTTCGATGTAAGATATATCGGAGAATCGTCTAATCGTATCCGTTTTTTTGGTGAAGGCAATGCGAACGTATCTGAATAATCCCACAACATATCCAATAATTTCCCACTTTTGTCATGTGCATCTTTTCTTTTCGGTTTTGACATCGCACTCTTTGCTTCGACGTTCGTACTCACCGATGGTGCTCAGTTTTAACACCGACGTTACCCTCTACATTTGCGGTACTTTCCGCGATTTGTTTCAGAGGTTCGACCACGGGTTTAAAATGTCTCTCCAATGCAACATCTTCCTCCATCTTACCGGTTTTCAAAGCGTGATACTTCTTGCGAATCGATTTGCTCGTTCTCGCAATCTCCTTCGCTATCTTCTCGCGATCCTTGATGTTCATGCTACTATTGATCATCATTGATGCGTTTTCGTGGATATTGAAGCGACGTTAGAACGGTGTTGAAACGACGTTATATAGTTAGAACGACGTTGAAACGACGTAGGAACGATGTTGGAACGATGTTGTCACGTTACAACGATGTTGGAACGACGTTGAAACGATGTTAAAATGACGTTGGAACGGTGTTGGAACCACGTTGGGACGATGTTGCCACCTTGAAGTAACAACGACGATTGTACAACTCACAGCGTAGCAAAATCGTTAAATCTTTTCCTATATCGACCATTGTTCATAGAACTGTCCTTATCAATCACTGTAAAGCCATATTTAATCGACTTTCTGAAAGCATGGTCCTTTCGTGGTTATCGATTGTTCGCGTCAAAACGAATCTGTTAAGAGTGCCACTATAGATGTGCGGATAGAATTTGAGTGTAGAGAGAATATACCAGCGAATACTACCGCATACTGTCTGATCCTGCATGATCGTGTAGTTGAATACAGTCCACTAACCAACTTAGTGCGCAAAATCAACTAACACATTGGAAAGTATGAGAAAAAAATAATAGGAAACATCAAAAGGCTATACACGACATTTTTTTCCTGAACGTAGGATTCTACGAACATGAACTGCATCGTGTTAATAACCCTGATGTATACCTGGTGGAAAAAGTATTACGCAGAGAAGGTGACAAGGTTTACGTGAAATGGTTGGGATTTAGCAATTCATACAACTCATGGATAAACAAGGATAATATATTGTAAAATGTATTTTATTGTATTAAAATAATCAATAAACAATTTTTGTAATTTGAACCTTTATTGAAGTCTAAATTAACGCCACGCGTATTCGATAGTAAGGATAAGCATTGTGCTTTACAGAATGTATTAAAAATATTCAATTGGTGGTTTCAGCGCCCCGGAGAGAGTTGTAAACCTTTATAAATAAACATTTTTTTAATGTATTAATGTTTCTCTTTTTATTTCTTCTTTGTTAACTTGCTCGTTTTGGATAATTTTCTGAAATTATATATATTATTAGCGTATAAAAAAAGTGATTTTAAAATAAGTCGTAATTAATATTTTACTGATATATGTAAACTTACCCACGTCGTTATTGACGTCTTCTACCGCTGTTCTTATAGGCGAGAAAATCACATGTTTGTTCGAATTTCCTGGGCTATGGAAAATAATAATCATTAATTTCATATATTTTTCTAGTGTATTGTAGTTTTTATAATTATTACGATATTTTCGCTTATCTAGTATGGTTGAGTACAACCCCGATCATACCCCAGACATCCTCCATTTCCTCCCCAAAATCACGTCTGATTATGAGGATTTCCCTCACAATTTCTTGGATCCGATCGTTACAAAGTCTTCCGCTGTTAAACAGCAACACGAGTAGCATGCTGCTGCATTTGCAAGCGAAGTTATAAAATAAATTACAGTTTTCCTCGTCGTCGCTTTCCGATACGCGAGATAAATATTTCTCGCGATCGATATTTGGGTCCGCGTAAGAACCCGCGAAGATACATTCGCGCACTAGAACACTTAATCGCGACACAGTATTCACGTGTTATGTTGTCGAGGTCTGTACAACTTGTGTTTTCGAAAGATAAAAATCTTCCTGATTTTATATGTTCTATTTTTCCTATGTCCCCCCTCCCAAAGTTTTCCAAAGAAACTCAAACTAAAAATCCTTGTGTCACGCCCTATCTAAAAAAATATGTATATCCTTTTTACAACTGTACAACTACAACTGTAGAGAATTCGTTATCAGCAGCCAGATTAGCGGCGCTCGACAACATGTATAAGTACGGTACCATACTGTTCGTATCCTGAGACGCAGATATGCTCTGACTGCAACGTCGTACAAATATTTGGAGATTGGGATCAGCGTAGGACCTGTGTCTACCGTGGAAATAATCCTCGGTGACAATTATTAATGTTATACAAAATTCTTTTTTCGGGGGGCTGTTGAAGATAAAAGCTAAATGGATGTTTCTTTTTACTTCCTATCAAAGTATCTATGTAGGCATACATTAGGTAAAATTCTTTTTTTTCGGGGAACCGAATGTTCTCCTCAAAAAATCTCGAATATTCTAAAAATATGCTAAAACGGGGACAAAGACAAAGGGTCGATAATATCAGTTAAAAAAATTATAAATATGCCGGTAATAATATATTGGTAAAAAAATACCAGTAATAAACACTACACATCATTTTCTCTTGCGCTGTAATGCATCATGGCTGACATTGCTTCATCGACATATGATTGCTTAATTGATTGGCTAC